CTTTTTTTGGAAAAAAAAAAAAAAAACCAAAAAACTTAAGCAAAGGATGTGCAGTTTCCCTTATCCGCCCTGTGGTTCACAACCCCCACATTCAGGAAGTTCTCGCTGATGTCTGATCTCAGTGTCTCCTACTGCCGTCCATTTCCTCTTCTTCCTATGGCAGTGGACTGAAGGAGTCTCTTCCTCCCGAGGACCCGAGAAGGTTCCACTCTAAGTCACAGAGAGCTTGCTCCCGATGGGAGGGCCGTTGACCGAGATGAACTTTTAGTGAGTGAGGGTCTTCGTCAGGGAGAGGAGAACGAACCCAGGATGGAGGGAGGCCAGGTCAAAGACCAGCTGTGCAATGTTGGGCAAGTTACTGAACCTCTTGGGCCTTCCATCTCAACTGCAAAGTGGGGTCGTGCTTACCTCCCTGGGGCAGTTCCGAGGACCTATGATCGTCGAAGTAAAGAACTTGGTATTGTACCCAGATCATTAGCACTTTGGGAATAGTGATTGTTAGCACACTGCTGTTATGAAAAGGTATCCCCCCTCACCCCCAAAGCTGGGCAGGAAGAGGCCAGGCAGGGGAGGCATGCAGGGTGGGACACTTGAGGCGGCCTGGCTGTCAGCGTTGTGTGGGTGCATGTCCAGCAAGCTGAGAGTGAATGCCTCCTGAACTTTCCTGCCTGAAGCTCCTAACCCCAGTCCCTGGTTTTGAGACCCTAGAGCAGAGTGAACTGGGAAGCACAAGGTGTGGCCATCAAGGGACACCAGGTCCCAACCCTGCCTCCTGCTTGGAGTTGTCCTGCCTGGGGCCAAGGAGTATTCTGGAAGACCCCTGGTGGGGCTGTGCGTTGGCTGCCCTCAGTTTTGGAAGGCCTGGGGTCCTGAAGAATGAGGTTTTGTCGGGATACCTGGGTGGCTCAGTTGAGTAAGAGTCTGCCTTCAGCTCAGGTCATGGTCTCAGGGTCCTGGGATAGAGCCTCGTATCCGGCTCCCTGCTCTGTAGGGAGTCTGCTTCTCCCTCTCTCTCTGCCTTCTCCTTGGCTCTCTCCCTCTTGCTGCCTCACAAATAAATACATAAAATCTTAAAAAAAAAAAAAAGCCAAAGGCTTTGTCCTGGGCTTAGGTGGGGGTGTGGCTAGATGTGGGGGTGCTGTCTCTATCTGGGCTCCATGCACCATATCCTCTGTAGCCAAGCCTAAGGGGGAAGGAAGAGGAGAGCCCGCAGGGAGGCATTCTGCTAACTGGGCCAGCAAACTAGGCACGGAGGTGAGGGGCAGGAAGGTGAGCTCAGCAGGGGGCTCTCCTTTACCTGGGTGCCAACCCCAGTCTGGCCACAGACCCCACTATGAGAGGTGGGGCGTCGTGACTCTTTGTACCTCAGTTTCCACATCTGTGAAACAGGGAGGGAGGAGATGGCTCTTCCCAGAGCCGGTGTTCTGAGGGGTGGTATGCAAGGATGGGCTGTGTCCTGGCCCAGATCCAAGCAAAGATGGAACTTAGAGACCTCGGCTCCAGAAGGGCCGGGGGTGCTGCGTCGTCAGTGGTGAGCACGGTCAGGGGGTCGGGGAAGAGAGTGAGGGGCTCTCCTGGTCGGCTCACTCAGCTGGTATTTGCTGAGGGCCTACAGTGTGCCAGGCCGAGTCCTAGGCTCTGGGGGCTGTGGGCACTTACGTGCTAGCAGGGAAGGAAGACCCTAAGTGAGATCAGGAAGCAAAATACATCGTGTGCCGGAGAGTAGGGAGTTCTAAGGAGAAAAATAAACCACGCCACGGGGACAAAGGACGTGTTTGCGTGGGTGTGTCCAAGGTGGGTAACAGCCCACGCCGAGTGGGGCTCTCTCACCGTTGGCTCTGGCTTTGGACCCACAGCTCGGGTGTTCTGGAAGCTTCCCTACAGCATCGCTGGGGGCCTGGGGCAGGGTGGGGGCAGCGTTGAGGGAGAGCCTGCCCTCGTGCAACCTGCCTCTTGCCCTTTTCACTCCCAGTAGCCCCAGAGTTGGCGGCGCCTAGGAAGCAGGGAAGCAGGGAGGGCTTCCATCCTGAGAGGACTGGGCTGGAGGAGAGGGGTGGGGAGCTTGGCCTGCACGCTGGGCCATGTCTACAAACGCTGTGGGGAAAACATGGGTCGTGTCACTCTGGAGGGGCTTTTGGAAATGTTTGCCTTCCCAGGGAGCACCTTGACCAGTAAGTTGCAGCATCTGTGGGCTGGCCTGGGGAAGGGGTAAGGGCAGGGGGGCTGCTGCTCAAAGGCTGCTGGCCGGGAGGGAAGTTTCTCCAGCGAGGCTGAGGCCTGTGGTTTCTAATATTGGCTCCCGTCTCCCCAGATTGCATCGTGCCAGACTGGGGAGGGGTGGACAGAGCAGGAGGGTCAAGGTGGGGTGGCCTGGGCCTCCGGAGCGTGCAGCAGGGTGAGGGTGAGAAATGACAGCTGACTTTAATGAGAGCTTCCTAAGGACAGGCCCCACTCTAAGCGCTTCATGTGTTCTGTCCCATTTGGTCCTCACAAAACAGCACTCTGCAGGCCTGGTGAAGGGCCCCGAGGACAAAGTGACCTGCCTGAGGTCACACGGGACAGGAATCAGAGCGAGTCAGGACTCGGCCCTGGCCGTTATGGCTAACGCTGTTCGCTTAGACCCGTGGTTTTCTAAGTGTCATTCCCAGGTCTGGAAACCTTTGAGAAAGGCATATTCTTGGGTCCCACTAGGTTAGACCCTCCTGGCAGGGCCCATCCCCTGTGTGTCCACAGCCCTCCAGGTGATTCTGAGGGCTCTTCGGGGCTGCTGGCTCACATTCTGTTCTGCCCAGAGTCCGGGCCTCTTGGGAGGCTTCACCCAGAGCAGGATGAGGGGCTCTTCAGGGCCTGTTGTGGGCCTGGGGCAGTGCTTTGTCTCCGCCTTTTCCCTCCCACCCCATTTCTGTCCTTTCTGACTGCCCCCATCTAGGCAGGCTGGTGAAGAGTGAGGGGTTTGGGGTTGAGAGATCTGGATTCAAATCGCAGTCCTCTGGTGTAGAATCTGCATGTAGAAGGCCCCTGGGATCTGCTCTCCTGGTTCTCCTCCTCACCTGGAGGCCAGAGCTGCCCAGAGAAGATGCATTTGGGCCTTCCTGCCTCGTCGAGGTCTTTGCTGGAGCGCTGTAGAGCCTTGAACCAGAAGGGAGAGGTGGGGGTTCTGGGACGGGGGGGCTAGCGGCCCTGCTGTGGACGCCCCTGGTTGGCGCTGGTGGTTTTTGGAGGCTGAGGGGAGAAACTGGCCCCATTAGCAGGCAGCTCCTAGAGCCGAGCCTGGGTCAGAGGTCTCTGCCTGGTGGCCTGTGGCTCGGGAGTGGGGGCTAGGAGGGTTTGGGGGAGGACCAGGGTTGGGCTGGAAGGGGGTGGAACGTGGCATCTTTCCCTCTCCAGAGCCATCCTCAGGCTTCAGGTGGGCTGACCTGGGGGTTGGGAGGGCCCCACTGACTTGCCTTCCCACCTCCTGCTCTGTTCTCGGGTCTTGTCTTCCCTCCACTATCTAAGCTGCCTTGGAAAGAAGTTTTGACCTCAGCTCTCCATCCGCCAGGCTTTAGGGGGAAAGGAGTCCAGGCTACTTCCTGAAAGAGTACTGCTACCTTGACCTCCATTGGCTCTTTTCCTCCATGCCCATCTTGGCCCTGCCGTCCTCCCTGATGGCAAAGCCTTTCAGAGGCCCTTCTGTCCATTCCCCTGTCTTCTTCAGGGCTGAGGGTCTCACCAGGAATGGGGTTAGGGTGGGCATTTCCTATTCTGAGTCACCGGCCCCTGAGATGGTCCCTGCTCATCTTGGCAAAGGCTTTGCTTCCTCACCTTCACGGTCAAGCTCTTGTCCTTCTGTGTGACTCAGGGGACCCTGGAACCACTTCACTGGGTTGGTAATGGAGCTCCAGAGACTGGAGGCATGAAGTGGACCTGGAGTGGGAAGTTTCTCTCCCGTTACGGGAGAGTCCAAGGAGCCTGCTTCTCAGGATGCCATTAGTAGAAAGCACGTCTGTTGGTCCTGGCTGGGAAGGGGTGGCACTGGCGCGTGGGACAGGCTCAGTCCACAGGGGTTATTCGTGGCCCTCTACATATCCATCCCAGTCCCTGGCATGAGGGACATGACTGTGGAACTTCCTACAGTGCTGCTTTGAATCTGTTCAGTCAGGTGGGATAAGACTCACCAAACTGTATTGGGGAATGAGACATATTGCCGTGATGAGATTATTTGTACCCTAAGGACCAGATACGTAGCCCAGAGGGCAGGCTTACTGGAGTCCCAAGATGAGAGGAAGTCTTTCTTGCTGGGTGTCCAGGAATGGCCTTGTCAGGGAGAGGACAGCTTGTCGGAAAAGAGCGTGGGCAGGGGAGCCTTCCCACAAGCCAAGGGCCAGATGGCGAATAAGTATGGGGAGCTAGGGGACAGGTCTGGATGGGGCCAAGCTCTGGGGCACTGGGGTCTACGAGTGGGCAGGGCTTATGGTGGAGGGCCTTGGAAGCCCACAGAAGTTAAGACTCTGGCAGGCCCTGTCCTGGGCTGTGGTGATTTCACACCAAGAGCCTGGAGTCCCAGGATGGGGTATAAATCCTATTGTCACAGGGAGTAGTCGATGACTTTACTACTCCTTTAACCTCTTCTGTGAAGTGGGACTCAGGGGAGCTCATGGGACCTACCCCCCTGGGTTCTTGTCGTGAATAAATGAGCCGGGGTGGGTGGAGGTGTCTGGCCCAGAGGTACAAGTGTGACTTTTACCTGCTCTGGGTTCCTTTTTGAGGGGTCAGCACTGAGTCAGAGGCCTTGGTGAGGTTTGCCGAGCTGGGTGGTTCTAGTACCAGTAAGATTGTTTTTCATTTTCCCAACTGCCTCCCAAGCTTGGGGTTAGCCAGGTTAAGTCTGAGCCTTGGGCTGATGCCATGGGGCCGGCTTCAGGAGTCATTCCGCCCATGCGGCTACCAGCCCTGGGGAGAGAGCCAATCCGTGGCTCTTTGCCCTGAGGCCTCACGCTGGTTTCTCCCTGTGTTCACAGCCCATCAACACTGAGAGCGCCCTGAAGAATGTAGCCGACACGGTGAGTGACAGCCGGTGGGGTGGGTGGTGGGGAACACCCTGGGCCAACGTGGGGAGGCCCAAAGGCAGAAGGGCGATATGGGGGGAAAGTGAACACAGATGTCTGGGGATATCCTTTTGGAGTCGATTTGAGGAACTTGGGGAGAGTGATGGGGATGTGGGTCACGTTGTGAGCCAGGCACGTGACCTCACTTGTGTGTTCAGAAATGGATTGCTAGGGAAGTAGGCAGGTGGGAGAGGCCCGTGGTTTAATGTGGGTTTCTTTATTAAATATGCAGAGTGCGAGAAAGCCGGGCAGATGTTTCCAAACAGATCTTTCTGACTTAGCAGAAAGACAGGCAGTTTCCCCGTTTCCTGGAGGCTGCGTGGAGGAGGAAGGGAAGAGAGTGGGCGGGTCCTGCAGTGGAGAAGCTGAGGTTGGCAGCCAAGGGACATCTCCTGGCCGTGGCCTGTGCCCAGTAGTGGGCTTCCGGTCAGAGGGCTTGCATTCAGATCCTGCCTCTGCCAAGCTTCTAATCGTGTGACTGTTGGCAAGTCATGGGCTTGTGTGTGCCTCAGTGTTCTCACGTGCAGAATGGGAACAGGAAGATCTCCTGGAAAAGTGGTCGGGAGACCCAGGCGAGAGGATTGGTTAGCTCTGAGGGGCTTTTAGTGGACAAAGAAATGCTAAACAGGGGCACCTGGGTGACTCAGTCCTTAAGTGTCTGCTTTCCGCTTAGGTCATGATCCCAGGGTCCTGGGATCGAGCCCCACATCAGGCTCCCTGCTCAGTAGGAAGCCTGCTTCTCCCTCTCCCACTCCCCCTGCTTGAGTTCCCTCTCTTGCTGTGTCTCTCTCTGTCAAATAAATAAAATCTTTTTAAAAAATGCTAAAGAAACAGCTAAGTTCCTCCGAGGTCCTTCTGCCAGCCCCCTCACCTTCCCACCCCTGCCATACCCAGGAGGTGAGAAACCAGGGTGCCTTTTGAATACTTTCCTTGACTCCTTGCTCTGATCGCCTTTTCTCTGTCTCCAGGGAGAAGGAGCTTTCCGGGGTGGAAACACACGGAAAAGCCTTGAGGAAGACGTAAGTGTGGGGATGGGGAAGGGGAGAATGTCCCGTACCTGTCCCATTTGGTGGAACATCCTTTGCCTCCTTTCCAGAAGGGCGGGCGGGAGTCACTCAGCTCTGTGGCCAAGCAGGGGAGGAGGGGCTGGGGTGATGAACAGGCCCCGTGCACTTCTGCACTGGGCCTCCGTCTGGCTTTGGCCTCCAGCTCTGCTGGCTCCGGAGCTCATTTGCCCACCGCTTTGCCAGACCTCTGTGCTGCAGGGTGGGTGGCGGGGAAGGCAGAAAGGGAGGGCTCTTGGAGGCCTGGCGTGGTGGTGAGCAGTCACCAAGGTAAGACCAAGGGAAATGGGCAAAAGGACTAAGGGCCGAGGTGCAGAAGGACTTGTGGGCTCTCAGGGTCGTCAGACCTTGGGGAATTGCAGGCTTGGCTTCTTGGGAGAACGGAGCCTTTGAAAATGTCAGAGTCTTCTGTGTGATTTCAATGCCATTGATTCAGGAGCAGCCTGGAAGGTGGGCCAAGCCAGCTGAGCCCTCTGGGCTCCTCTTGCCATGCATTTTTGGTGGAGGTCAAGGGGCAAATTCCTGCAATGTAAAGACCCCAGGGAAGGGCAGAAGGGGCTCTCCCAGGACCCTGCTTTGAGCAATGCTTGTGTCTGGGCTTGTCCTCACATCCCTGGGGGAGACACCCCCCAGTGCTGGGCCTTCCTCTTTCTTCCCCACCCTCCTCTGACAGTTTGCCCCTCTGTTGGCCTTTCCATCCTTGCCCGCCCTGCTCTGCAGAGGAACAGGGAGTGGTTTTGGCGGTTGGCACGGGGGGAGCTGTTGATGGCATGAGGCCCTATCATCTGACAGCTGCCTGACCCATGGTGGGGAGGGCCCCAGAGGGAGGTGCTGGGGCCGCAGGAGACAGCTCCCGTAGGCAACCACACTTCTGTGGGGATCCTGCCACTGTCGCATTGCCCTGGGGCCCACTCTGGGAGGCCAAGGCGTTCCCCAGCCTGTCCGGAGCCGGAGCATGCCTCCTAAATTAGTGGGGAAGGCCCTGTTCAAGGTATGCATGGGTCCCCTGGGCTCAGAGTGCAAGTGTCAGGAGGGACTCTGGTCCAAGTCTGTGATATTTCTGGGGCCGGGGTGTGGGTCAGAAATTAATTTTTGTGTGTACCTGCTACTGAGGATGAACGAACTTAATGCACACAGAACATATAATATGTGCTCAATAAATATCAGCCATTCTTATTACTATTCTTTTGACTAAGGGCCAGGAAGTGGACTGGGTTTTTATTTATATATTTATTTATCCCTCCCGCCCCCTCCCCCACAATGGCACATGTTCTGGTCTTATTTGTTAGATGGGAAAACAGAGACTTGAAAGGGCTCAGTGACTTGGTGAGGGCCTTCTGCTTCCCTTTCTGGGTCTGCTGCTTGGATCTGGTGTTACCGGCTCTCCCAACCCTTGACCAGGGGATGCTGTGTGAACCAAACCTTTTACAGTGGTCTGAGCACATTTTAAAAGCCAAGTCCTGATGCTGCTGTTTCCCACTCCAGCCTGGGCTAGATGTAGCTGGTCAGGGAAAGCTACAGCAAGAGAGAGGGAAGTTAGACATCATGAAGGACTTTTTGACGCCGTGGTGGGTATGACCTTGGTCCTGGGGAAGAAAGAAGTGGCCCTTTATTTGAGACAGGAGGTTATTTTAGAAGAAAATTTTGTTGATTTGGGATGAGGATGTGTGTGTGTCTGGGCGTGCCACGCTGGGTAAGGATTGTGTCCTGTCTGGATGTGGGGCGGGGGACAACATGAATCTTGGTTTAGTCAGTCTAGTGAAGGGAGCAGATTCTAGAATGGCCTGTGTACTGCAAAGGAGGCAAGACATCACTTTTGAAGTTCCCAGACACCTGTCCCAGGTTGGGTGCTCCTGGGGTCATTAGTCCACACCTGCCTAGCCTGGGGCCCCCCTGCAGTCTGGCCCGTGTGAGGAGACCAGTTTCAGAGGCTGAGCCGTTGCAACCCTGGGCCTCCTGGCATGCTTGTGTGCCTGTTTGTTGAGCTGTTTTCCTGGCTCTGGCCCATGGCCCAGGACTCACAGGCGGGAATGGCTGTTTTCCTCTAGCAGGGCTGGTGTGTTAGAGAGGTTTGTGGACAGTGTGCTGTGTCGCACTTTGTTTTGGAAAAATCCAGGCTGGTGGGCAGGAAGGAGAGAGGAAGGGGTGTGGCTGGAGGGGCTGGCGGGGGGGTGGAGGGGGTGGCCACAGCCCCCAGAGGAAAGGTAGGAATGGGGATGGGCCCCTGACATAGATTGGGCACCAGTTTCTGGCTGCCTGACATGGCCCCTGGTGTTTCATAAAGACCCTCCTCCCAACTGGGCCCCCTAGGGACTGGGGCTCAGGAAACGCCTTTTCTTTTGGTCCCAAGCTGTTGTGTTTGGTCTGTGGACCTCAAAGGCAGGCAGGACTCTTCCCACACAGTCGATTTTGCTCTAAACCGACCCCACCCAAGTCCTGAGGTTCTCGCTCCTTGCTGTACGGTGGAGAAGGCAAGATTAGAGCCTAGGGCCGTAGACCTTGAGCCACTCAGGAGTGTCTGAGTGGTGGTCGGCAGGGAGGACCAAGGCAAAAAGAGTTGGTTGGATCTGCAGGAGGAGGAGTGGGGGTGAGACACCAGGAGGAACTTTCCGAGAGTAAGAGAAGCAAGCTTGACCACTATTTTGGCAGGGGTGGAGCGGTGCGGGAGTGGGGGGTGGAGTTTCCTTTCATGCTGTTCTCTCCGTGAGACAGAGACCATGATCTGGGTCTTTACAGGGAGAGAGTTCTTGGTGCCTAGGGAGTTGAATTGAAGTTGTCTTACTGATCTCAGTCTTGGGAGGGGCCGGGAGGAAGTGGACGCCTGGGGGCCAAAGGGTTCGGACAGCCCCAGAGAGGAGAAGAATGAGATTATCCGAGGACAGAGAATTTAGTTTTCTTTTTAAAATAAAATCTTTGTAGGACTCTTTGTAAAGCCCTCTGGTAGTTTTCCTTGGAAGCTTTAGGTGGAATAGGTAGATCTCATGAAATCCCATGAGCGCTGGGCTGTACCCATTTTACAGATGGGTTGGTTCCTAAGAGTGTCTTCCTTCATGGAATATAAGTTCTCTGAGGTCAGGGACTTCACCTGGTCCCCGTATGTGCCTTTTATGTTGCCAGGCACACAGCGGGTGGCACCCAGTGAGGGCTTTCAGGAGGAGGGCTCAAGCACTATGATGGGCAGCAGAGATGACCCGTGTGTCCACTCACTCCCAGCCTCTCAGAAAGAGCCTGCATGGGGAGGCGTGCAGCAGTGGGGGGCCCGTCTCTGGCTACCTGTGTGAGGTCACCTGTGCATTTTGGAGCATTAGGCCATGCTGGCTCGCACCCCCTAGCCCTGCAACGGCGTGTGAGTCTCCACGTCCACTGGACTCAGACTTGTCACCCGTCTCTGCTTTCTGCCAGCAAGCGTCACATGTCCCCAAACTCTGCGGAAAACAGGAAGCCCCGTCAGCGAGAGGACAGCCCAGTGATTCAACAGGGGATGACCATCCAGCTGTTCCCATCCCTGTCATCTGGTGGGGTCATGGCCCACAGCAGATCCCTCCCCTTGCCTCCCCTGCCCTGGCCAGCCTGGGGGAGCACAGCGGCTTGGACTTTGTCTTATCACCTCTGGAGGCGGCATGGCCAGACTCTGTTGGGGCCAAGTTTTTATTTATCTTTCCTGACTTTTGGGGTGGGGAGGCTGAGGAATGTGCAGTGTTGTAACGTTGGGAAGGGGGGGTGGAGAAACGGGATCCAGCTCTCCTGCCCCATTCTTCCTTTTCACCCCTGGGCCCCGGGAGGCTCCTGACACCCCTTGGCTCCCCAGTCCCCTCGCCAAGCCAATCTCAATATCGCATTGTCTCCCCACAGCTCCGTGGGTTGGGACCTGTGGCCCGAGCCACGCCTTGAGCCTCAGCTGCTGCTGTGGCTTCCGGTGTTTGAGTCCCCCAAACGTGGCTGTGGGTCGGCAACAGATGAGAAGTGAGGGGCTATTTATAGCAAGGATCCCTGGGGCCTGGAGCAGGGCCTGGGGCCTGGGGAGGTTCAGCGACTCCTCATCAGGGACCAGTGAGATAAAAACAGATGGAGTGTTGGGTCTCTTGTGTTCCTCTGGGTGGGTCGTCTTGGAACAGCCTGGCTTAGGGCTTGAAAACCAAACACGATCCCTCCTTACCACCCTCTACTCGCACCCCCACGCCTGACTTATGTAAACCCAAGTCGTCAGGGCCAGGGGGTGGTGGAGACAGAAACTTCCCACACCGACAGTCCCACTTGGCTCTCTGTTCCTCCCGCTGCTGTCACAGAGGCTGAGCGGTGGTGGGCCAGCTGTAGCCCACACAGAGGGGGCTCTGGCTGCAGCCTTCTCTAGGGACTGGATGGAGAGCCCTCCCGTTTGTGGAGCTGCCCTGACTTCGGGCCCAGCCGGGGGCCAGGCCTTCGAGCCTACCATGCACCCCTGCCTAGTAGGTGCCGCAGGGCCCTGGCAGAGGCTGGAAGGCGCTCCTCTGCTCCGGGCCCCCGCGGTCAAACCCAGAGACTGAGGGCGAATCCTGCCAGTTGTCGACTTCCCCGGGACTTGGGGGGGGGGCGGTGAGTCGCTGCCTCAGTTTCTCCTCTTCCCGGCAGACTGTGGTCCTGTGTCCTTCAAGAGGTGGTTGCAGCTTGGAGGTTGGGAGAGGCTGGGAGGCACGGGGAGGTTTGGAAGATGCCAGTGGGCTCTGAGGGCTCTGGCAGGGCCTGGGAACTAGAATCTGGGCCTTTGGGTATCAGGTGAGGTAGTTGATGGGGTGGGCGGCAGTTTGTGGCAGAGGCGACGCAGGCCTTGATTTTCTGTAGAGGTGGATAATGGTTGTATCTCTACCCTTTTAATCGGGTGAGATGTAAGAACAGTAACACTGTATAAGTGACCCATATTCCTACTTCCTTTTCATCGTCAAGCCACTTGGTAAGGACTGCCTCATTTTCTGTGAGACATTATGGAAGCTTAGAGCGTCAAGCAGCACAAGATGGCCTGGCGGGGTGCTGAGGAGCCCCAGCCCTGAGCTTTCCTCCCTGCACCATTGGGTTGTCCTGGGTTGTTTGGGACCCCAGTGTGGGTCTGTTTGCCTAATTTTGTGCCAGCGAACCACCTTGGGGATGGGAGCACCTGAGGAGGTGACAGACTATGGGCAGCGGGTCCTAAAAGTGCGATTTGCTGCCTCACACTGGCCTCGGCTGATACACAACTCCTCCAGCTGCTCTGGACCCACACCTCTTAGTTGAATGGCTCAGCCAGCGGTGCCTCGAGGGGAGGAATGTGGGGGGATGGCGGTCGGCCGACAAAGGCTCAGAGCCAGGTGGAGGGCTGCTGGACCAGACGTTCCTTCTTTGAGGTTTGTGGTCCATCTTTTCCCCCCGGACTTGCTGTGACGCTGTCCAGGGACTCAAGACGAACCGTGTTTCCATCTGCTTAGTGACTCTTTCATTGTGAGTGTGGACTCCGTGTGGACGGCACCAGCCCAGACCGTGCTCAGTGTTTGGGATTTCTTCCTTCCCCAGGGAGGGGGAAGCTGAGCCCTCAGAGGGCTTGCGTGCACACCCCCGAGGAAACGGCGCTGATGGCTTTTGGCTCTAGGTCGCCGTGTTGCCTGGGTGTTAGGGTGCCTGGGCTGGAATGTTGGCAGAGAGAGGAGAAGGGAATCTGTGTTTGTCCACAGCACTGACTGCTCCCGTGGCCAGCCCTCTGCCGGGCCCCTCTGTAATGCCGCTTCTCTTTTCTCTGTCCCAGGGCTCTGCCAGAGTCACCCTGAGCGTCCAGCCCCATCCTCAGCCTATCAGGTATGCCTGGCCTGTGGGGGGCCAGGGGCGGGGGTGCCGCAGTGAGGTCACTGTGGGTGTTTCCAGCAAGTCATGCCTTTGGGTTTCTGAGACCGAAGTCATAAAGCCACAGGTAGGGGGTGTGAGAGACATGCCAGCCACAGGGAGAGGATGCCAGTAGCTGCCCGTTTGGAAATGCTCATGTTTTGAGTTTTAGCTTGAAGCCAGGCCTTGAGCTGGATTCTTTATGGTCCCTGCACGATCTCATCTAGTCCTTGCAACAATCTTGCAAGGTAAGTGTTTTGTTTCCGTTCGGCAGATGAAGAAACTGAGTCTCAGGGAGGTGAGGTGACTTATTAAAGGTCACGCAGCCACCAAGAGGCAAGACCTGGGTGTGCCTTTGGGACTGGCAGGCGTCAAGGCCTGTGCTAGGTCCAGGTCCTTTTTGTGGGCAGCGGTTTTTGGTGTTGGAGGGCTATTTCTAAAAGGAAAGTTCTCTGGCTGGCTGGCTGGCTGGCAGGGCCTGGGGGAGGGGATACGTGAAGACTCGGGGTCTTGCTGATCCAGAATCTCTTTTCCCTGTGTCCGGGTTCTGTGGTTTTCTGGCTTGGGCTCTTCCCTCTCTGCCTCCCCTCTGCTCCTGAGGCTCCCGAGATGAGTGAGAATCTGGCCCTGGAGAAATGGAGCCCCAGCCAGAGAGGGCTGATGTGTAGCTAAAGCCCTCAGCGGGTTGTGGCCCGGCGGCCCACAGACAGGGGGGCCTTTTAGAGGATCCCCTTCTTCCCTTGCGCCAAGAACCACCTTGGGGTGAGTGGGTGCAGGGTGCGATGCTGGAGTTGTCCAGGCGGTGGTGCTGTTCTGCCTTGGACTCTCCCCTCCCTCCCACCAAGGCTGCAGTGAGAACCTTATCTTAGGGACAAGGGATGGTGGGGGCTCAGAGGTCAAATTCAAACTGGGCTCCTTGCCACATCCCACTGGCACCTCTGCCACTTGGCTCCTCTCCTTGCTACCATGGAGAAGTCATACATCACCCTTGGTTCCCCTAGCTCCAAGCCCTATACACACGCTTGGACTCAGAGTTGATCCTGATGGACATCTGGATTCTGCCAGTGCTGTCCTGTCCCTTGAAATATCCTGCTGGCATTTCTTCGATGCTCCCCCAGTCTTTCCTTTGCACTACCATAGTGGAAGATTGCTAAAAGGAAATATGAGTGTGGCCCACATTGGATAGAGAGGGCAAGTGAGACAGTAGGGGGTTGGTGATAGGGTAAGAAGGTGTGGGGGTAGGAAGGTGCGAGGTGCCCCTAAAAGCCTCAGGTATGCCTCGGGATGGAATTTCAGTGTCCCGAGACCCATTGCCCCTTCCTGGGCCCTCGTACTGGAAAGGAAGCTCCGTGAGCTGTGAAGGCATGAAGCCCTACCTCCCCTCACCCAGAGCCCAGCGCGGGGCTTCCCACTTCTTTGAAGAGCTCAGATGGTGCTGGGGTCTCTGGGGACCACCTGCCATGGCAGCAGCAAAGACTCAGTGCCCTCTGCTCCCTGGGCCCTTCAAGATCACAGAGGCCACTGCCAAGAAATAGCCTAGGCAAGGTGGTAGGAGCTGCCAGACATGAGGGACAGCCAAGGAACAAAGGGCGGTAGCTGGCCTGCCTCTGGGGAGGGCTGGAATGGGCACTGTGGTCTGGCTTACTTGGAGCCCAGGTGAGAATGTCACCTGAGCTGCTCTTTCCCCCGAGAAGACTCCCCCACCCTCTGTACAGCTCAGGAGCGAGGGGGAGGGCAGCCTGCTGCTCAGCCCTGGGATGCTAGAGAGCACCTAGCTCAGGCTCTCCTTCCTCTTCAAAATCTGTCCCGGGACCCTTCTAGAGATGGCTGCCAGACCAGGTGGCCACGGTGTGTCGGGAGGCTGAGCTGGACTCTTGGCTACCTCCTGTCCTGGCCCTGACCTCTGGGTTCACAGGTTGAAGGCAGCGCCGACAGGGTGGATGGGCACTTAGGACTATTGTCATGACAGAAATGGCCCGAGATCCTGCCAGCCCCTGGCCGGGTGCGCCCAGGCTCGCCTTGCTGACTGCATGGACCTGGCCAGGGGAGGCCCCAGGCTTGGCTCTGGGTCAGGGGAGATCAAAGTCTCCTGGGATGGAATTGGGGACCCCATGTGGTATGCGGGGCTACAGCTACCTGAACCTTGCCCTGAGGAGCTGGGTCCCGACCTGGACCCCCTTCTGCCCCCTCTCTCCAGAAACATGAGTGTGAGCCGGGCCATGGAGGACAGCTGTGAGCTGGACCTAGTGTACGTCACTGAGAGGATCATCGCCGTCTCCTTCCCCAGCACGGCCAACGAGGAAAACTTCCGGAGCAACCTCCGAGAGGTGGCCCAGATGCTCAAGTCCAAGCATGGCGGCAGCTACCTGGTGAGGAGGGGCCCGGTGCCCCCGTCCTTTCTGCTCGCCATCCCCTTGCTTCAGGTGTCCCCCAGGGCCAACTCCCCCTCCTTCCCGTGATTTAGGTGCCTTGCTCGTGTACCGAATCCCCACTCACTCTCCGGCCCCACTTTGCTGGGAGGAGTGTGTCACAGCTGGAATGCGGCACCTGGACCCGAGTCCTGTGTGCATGCACGCATGCCTGTGTGTGTGTCTGTGTGCGTGTGTGTATGCACTGAGTTCACGTTATTGAGCGCTCCCTCTGAGGCGGGCCCCGTTCTAACTGCTATCCACATATTTAGCCTCGAGCTAGCTCTAGAAATCAGGTTTTGCTGGAGCGCAGTGGGGGTGGGGGGGTCTGCCTCAGGTGACAGCATTGGGAAGTGGCAGAGCTGAGGTCTGAGGACAGAGTTGTGGCACGGGCATCTTGTGGGACCTTGTGTGGCTGGCACTGGGGCAGGGCCTGGCCCAGGAGGAGCACGTCACGGACGTGGATGAGGGGGCCAGTGGTTTTCTCTGATGTCAGAGGGCTGGCTTGCGGGATCGGGCCCAGAGGAGGGCTCGGTTCCACTTTAGAGGGAAGCACCTGTGGGGTTGGGCTGGACCCACAGACGGGATGGGGCAGGCTCAATGCGATGTGAGCCGAGGCAGGCAGTGGGAGGCCATATTTGGTTCCTAGGGCTGACACATAACACATGACCACAGCTGGCTGGTCTATAAATGATATAATTAATTTTTTCACAGTTCTGGAAGCTAGAAGTCTAGACCAATATGTTGGCAGGGCCATACCCCTTCCTGGGGTCTGGTGCTTCCCAGCAATCCTCGGTGACCTTGGCTGGTGGCTCTATCACTCCCATCACTCTGCCTCTGTCCCCACATGGCCTGCCTTCTTTCCTGGGTCTCTCTGTGCCTCCTCATCTCATCTTATAAGGACACCAGGCATCGGATCCCGGGCCTGCCCTAAATCCAGGATGACCTCATCTTGAGATCCTTAAGTACTTACATCAGCAAAGTCTCTGTTTCCTAATAAGGTCACATTGTGAAGTTCCAGGTGGATATGAATCTTTGTGGGATGCGGCTGAACCCACCGCAGAGGTCTGTCTATCAGCCGTGGTGGCCATTGTTGAGGACTTTGATTCAGACATTGGAAGAGTCCTGGGCTTGAATGTAGGCTCTGCTCTAACCCACTTTACCTCACAAAACCTTAGTTTGTGCATCTGTGAAATTGGTCTAATTACACCACCTACCTCTTGTGGTGGTTGAGAGGATTAAGCCCTCTGCTAGATGTAAAGGCCTCAGTGTGGGCTGGCAGACTGGGGATACTCGCATGGGACCTGTTGTTGATGTGCTAAAGCGTGAGCCCTTGTGGGGTCCAAGAATGGCCTGGTAGCCCTCTGAGATGGTTCCCAGTCAGGAGTCCAGGATCCTATGGGTCTCTGTGCTGTGCTGCCCTCCCTCTGTCTTACCCACAGCAGGCTGTGGGCCCTCTTTTCTCCCCAGGAAGACGGCAATTCTGTGCCCCTCCTTTGGAGGTGGAGAAGGGAATTCCAGGGACCGGGGGGAATCCTGTGGGACACGGTGAGGTGTCAGAGGGCATCTGTGGGGAGAGGGGTGTCGAGGGTCTGAGAGGGCCCACTCGGGGCGATTTTCCCCCTCTGAGGGAGGGTGTCCCGCTGCACAGCTGTTGCATTTTCGGGTGATGAGGTTCTGACATCGATGTGGGAAGTGGAAACCAGAGATGGCCAAATACTTGTCAGTTAACACTCCCGGACTCCCATTCAGGGTATGAAGACGCTCACCTTGCAGGGGGCACGTGGGACCTGAGATAGGCTGCGTCTCTCCCCTTCTTGTCTTCAGTTCTGGGTGTCTGTCCACTCCCTGAGGGGAGTGGCTGTGCCTATGTACTTCCCTCTCCCCCTCTTTACCTTGAGAACCTGTTGAGCTCTTGTCGATCAGCGTGTGTGTGTGTGTCTGATGGGACGCCATTGCAAGCTCTTGCATGGGTAGGATTTTCACCGAGGGTGGCGAGCAGGGGGAGGAGAGAAAGAGACAGAGAGACAGAAGACGGCAGACACTATCTCACAATCTCTTCCTCTTCCTCCCAGCTTTTCAACCTTTCTGAGCGGAGGCCGGACATCACAAAGCTCCACGCCAAGGTGAGCCGATACCGATCCGGGGTGGGGGCTTCCCGTTGCCTGGAAGAGAAGGAGAGTAGACGGGCTCTGTCTCCCTTTGGTTCCCGCTTTAGAATCTGGGGGGAAGTGCTGAGACCCTGCTGCCAACCCTACTCCTAGTCTGTGTCATCTTCTCTTTGGAACAAGGAAAAGACTGTGTTTGTTGTGTTTGTAATACAAACTGCTGAGAGCCAGGCTGGATGCAGCAATTTCCTACCCAGCTCTGCTCCCCTGGGGTGCACAGAGTATTTCTGGGGTGAGGCTGGAGCTATGAGATTTCTAGCCATATTGAAATGCATTTTGCATTTAAACTGGCTGGGAATTGCCTACGGCCCCTTTTCACTTACGGGCTCAGCGGGCTGAGTGCAGGACTTTGCACGGATGTCTGCTTGGGCTCCCGGATTCTGGGGCCCATTTACTTTGTGACCCTGGGCAGGTGACAGTTCTCTGGGCCTCAGTTTGCACCTCTGATAGTGGATGGGCTAGATGAGATGTGCTCGCTTGGCTCTTCTGAGCAAGAATTCTTTCTCCGTTTAATGATCTGTGAGTTAAAAGTTTCGAGGAGCCTGAAGGCTGCTGTTCAGTTCTGCCCTCTGTCCCCTTCAGGTTTCTCTTGGCTGGCCTGGAAAGCCCATGGTTTGTGTGTCCAGGCCTGGAAAAGAGGTGTCAATGGCTGGGGGCCCTTGACTTCCCCTCTTTGTCCCTGAGCCAGGCCTTGGGGTTGTCTGTGGGAGGAGAGCTTGGGGGAAGTACTGGGGGGGCCCCAGCACATTTTGGAGTCAGAATCATGTGGAAGGGATCTTGCAGTCATCGGCTTTACACACATATGGGGAAACTGAGGCCAGGACAGAGGCGATGATTTGCCAGAGGCCCTAGTGTGAGGCAATGTGAGAGCTGAGACTCGGGCCCTGGGTCTCTGGTGCTGGGTGGGTGTCCTCTGCATCTACACCTTCACCTCCCCTCTGGGCTGATGGGCAGGGCAGGAAGCAAGGTGGGTGGGTGGGTGGCTGCTGTTGTGGCACCTGGGTGTGGGGTTTGTGCCCCCTCCCCGTAGCTCTGGTCCACTCTCTGGGGCTTCCGTCCCTTCTCACTCACGGCTTGGACTGTAGGTACTGGAATTTGGCTGGCCTGACCTTCACACCCCCGCCCTGGAGAAGATCTGCAGTGTCTGCAAGGCCATGGACACTTGGCTCAACGCAGACCCTCACAACGTCGTCGTTCTACACAATAAGGTCAGAGGGGGGGTACGTGGGTGTGCGTGTGCACCTGTGTGTGTGCATGTGTGTGCATGTGTACACACGTGCCTATGTGGTCATACATGCACACAGGCATGGATGTGGCCTTGGATGAGTGTGTGTGCCTGACTGTGTCATCGGACCGTGTGAGCGTGCAAGTCTGTGTGTTTTCTCCTTTCTAGGAGATAGTAGCTTCTGTCCCAGGGGGCACCTCCAAGAAATGAGCTTGTGGGGCCCTCAAGGGTAGTAGATGATTGGCTGTATTTCTTCTCTTTGAGACTCAGCTTGACCTGCTTCCCTCCCTTGCATTTCCCTCCTCCATCCAGTTCTCCCTTAGAACCACACCCCTCTCTCCAGCCACTGCCCTCTTTTTCTCCAGGCTTCCGGATGGGCTCTGGGGCAGTAGGGCTGGCCTTACAAATAAAGACTTTGTGTTTGGGGTTCTTTTAGGGAAACCGAGGCAGGATAGGCGTTGTCATTGCGGCTTACATGCACTACAGCAACATTTCTGCCAGGTAAGAGCCCCCCGTTCTTTGCATATTGTCAGTGGGACCCCCCTCTGCCCATCCCTCCTCGGCCTCTCCCTTCCTTGGGGTTCACAGGTGCTGGGGATAGGGTGGAGGAGCCCACAGAAAGGAGTCTACAGCTCTGAGGCAGGTGGCTGTGTGTGGTGGGGGGCGGGAGAAAGGAAAGTCCCTCCCTCTACTGGGAGCACTGGTGGGAGCAGCCTTGGGAGGCAGGCCCATCTATGGACACCCCAACCCACCACCATCTCGGGGCCACTTTTCCTTGGCAAAAGGCCTTCTGTTTTCCCAAGTGAGCTGGTGAGGGAGTCAGAAAGAAATGCTGGCTCAGATCTGGGTCTGGCAGAACCATCTGGAAGTGATCTTATCCTTGTGGGCCTCAATAAGGACTTTGGGGTTTAGGATGGGATGTCATTGGAGAGTTAAGAACAGAGGGGCTACATCATCTGTCTTTTTTTTTTTTTTTTTAATGATCTCTTTGCAGATAGATAAGATAAAATGTTCTATGGAGGCTTAGATGGTAGTTTTGTGACTTTAAGAAACTCAACCCAGCCTAATGTTCCCTTCATGGTGAACGTTTCCTATGTACCCACTGTGGGCCCCTGTGTATCGAGTTCTTTGTAGATGTTATTTCACTTAATTGCCATAACAAGCTTCAAGAAGACACTGGTCACTCCCATTTGACAGGAAGGGCAGTCAGGTTCAGAAAGATTAAATAACCTGATTCAGGACACAGGGCTGAGGAGTAAGTGGCAGACTTGCTATGGGAACCCAGTCTGTCTGGCTCCAAAGCCCCCATGCTGAGGCCTGCAGCATACAGGATGGAGAGATGCTGGGGCACCCTTTTCCTGAAAGCTGCTCAGCATAGGGTGGCTGGAGGGCTCTATAGGTCTGGGAGAGCAGGGTTGGGGAGGCAAGGGGCTGTCGGCCATAGGAGTTGGCTCCTCTGAGCACCTGTCTCTCCCCGCAGCGCTGATCAGGCCCTGGACCGGTTTGCCATGAAGCGGTTCTATGAGGATAAGATTGTGCCCATTGGCCAGCCATCCCAGAGAAGGTGGGTCTCCAGGGCTCACAGCCAGTGCCTACGTGTGTGTGTGTGTGTGTGTGTGTGTGTGTGAGAGAGAGAGAGAGAGAGCTTGCTATCCAGGCTGGGGTTGGAACAGCCATGCCTCGGGGGGTTGTGTACCGAACGTGCATATTCAGGTGCTATCCTAGAGTGGTGTGAGCTCAGGGACACGGTGAGCCCAGGGGCAGCTGTGTGCACCCACAGGTAGGCATGGCCATTGGCTCCTGAGGCCAGCGCTGGAGAGCAATGGGGCCATTGGTGGGGGACACATTGGTCTGGGTGCCAGAAGGCAGCTTGTATAAGAAGGCGGTGCTACTCTTGCTTCCGTGCTTGGATGAGCCTACAGGAGGCAGACGTCCTAGCCACCTGCCCTGGAGAGGTCAAGATTCTTACCATAAGGGTCATCTTCTGCTGGAAGAGCTTTAAAAATTTACCCAAGGGCTCTCAAGCACGTGGTCTCTTTGGAGTCCGTGGCAGCCTAGGCAGAAAGTAAGGCAGAGATGGTTCATTCATCCACTGGACAAGGTTCAGGTGCTCTGCTTCCTTCCAAGTGCTGGAGACACCCAGTTGAACAGGACACAGTGCTTTGCCATCAGTGAACTGATATCCCATTGGGAAGGATGGACCTCGCACTGAAGGTAGACCGACAGGACCATTTCAGTAATGGCTGGTGCTAGGAGAGGAAGAGGATGGAGTGGGTTAGACCTGATGGAGGAGGTTGGGCTATTTAGTGAAGGGGATCAAGGAACACCTGTCAGAGCTGGTGGCTTTGAGGCCAAACCTGAGTAATAATGATGAGCTACCGTATGACCATCCAAGGCATATCCCTATTTTATAGATGAGAAGCCTGAGCCTAGGGGGGGGACTCAACATGGCCAGGATCCGTAGCGAGTAGGAGCAGAGCAAGAAGGTACTCAGGGGCCTGTCAGTCAGGCCAGGCCAGGTTCCCCCGGGCTCATGCCACCCCCAGTCCTGAGGGCTGGATTCTGCTCTGTGGATAACGCGCTGTGTAATGATGGTGGTTGGTCCACAGGTGAGCACAGGTAGAGTCAGGGCTGGTGGGCTGTGGGGAGGCCGCCGGTGAGGGCAAGGCAGAATCCCAGGCCCAGAGGGGAGAACTGGAGATGGGGAATGGGGTCCAGCTACCGTGTAGCCAGAGAGGGGGTCCGCCACTGACATGTCCGTGTCCATGATGGGCCACACTGCTCCATGCACTGTGGCTGTGCTGGCCGTTTCAGCAGGACATGAGCCATCAATATACTTTCAGGTCATGAGAAGTACTTGGAAGGGGGGGAAAACCCAAACAGAACATGATGGCTTTGAGAGGGATGTGGGGGGGGGGGGGGGGGGTGAACTTGGGGAGAAGGTGAGGCGTGGGGCCCGCAAGTTCTGAGGGGAGGAAGGAAGCATCCGGAGGCAGGTCTACGGTAACCATGCAAGAGGGAAGAGCAAGCAGGCTGGCCTGGGGCCAAAGCATCCCCCTGGCTTTTCTAGCCCCTCTGAACGCTGACAGGGCCAGCAGGAGCTCCTGGCCTCTCCCTGCTGGGGTTCCCCATCTTATCCCCCATCATCCCACCTTGCTTGCCTTGTTAGAAGGCTGCTGGCTCTGCCAGTGACTGTGTCTGCCATTGTAGCGGGGAGTCCAAGCAGAAGTGAGTCCCCAGAACCCCCGGTGGCCGCAGGACAGCTGGGACCTGGTCTCCAGATCAGCCATCAGAAACCGGATGTCCACATGCAAAAAATTCTGGCTGGGCTGCCAGATGTAGCAGCTGTAGATCGAAGAGAGTCTTTCCCAGGGAGGAAAGATGCTGTCGTTCAAGTACCCACTTGCCACATAAGACTGGTGGCCTTGGTCACGAGTCTTGCTGTGAAGGAGCGACGGCACCATGTGGCTTGGAGGAAGTGGGTGGAGCAGCCACGTCCCTGTAGCTGAAAGCCTGGGGATCGGGCTCCGTGTCCCCTCTCAGCAGTAGGAGTGTCTGGCGAGTCTACGGTGTGCCGTGTTCGCTCACACCGTCTGTGGCCGGGGGCAGGGGCATTTACAGTATCTGTCTGCCTGGCAGCTTGTATCTGCAAGTGTATCTGCTTACGGGCGGGCAGTTCTGTCCGGGCCCGTGTGAAAGTGCGGCTGTTGGCTTCAGTGCGTATTTGTTGCCACTTTTCCGCCTTCTGGGCAGTGTCATTTGTAGGGAATGGATCAGTTGGAGGAGAGGAGGGTGGGGGGGTAGGGGCTTTGCCTGCAACTCCTCCATTCATTGTCACCCCACCCCCAGACTCATTGTCCCCAGCACACAGACACATCCTGTTGGCACCGGCCAGAGATCTGATAGCAACTGCCATTCCAGATTTCCGGTTTGAGTAACGGGGCTGGGGGCTGGGCAGGGGCTGAATAGGAACTGGTGGTGCCCATCAGATTATCTGGCTTGGGGAGTGCGAGGCGGCCCCGCCCAGGCCCAGGGACAGAGGCCTGCAGGCCTGGTGGGTCAAGGAGCCAAGAGACAGGAGGGGACCGTTGTCATGGTCATGTGGATTGTGTCTGCCAGCCTCAGAGAGCCCCCTTGCCCCTCAAGGAGTCTTAGGATTAGTTCTGATTGGTCCGGCTGACCCAGCTCATGTCCTCTGGCCATTCAGACAAGGAGGACGCCTCAACCAATCCCCAGCAGAAGGACGGACCTCTCTTTCTGGCAGGTGCACTGAAATTCAGACAGTTTTTCCTCTCTCCCTGCCCACTCCAGTTTTGTGTGTTCTTGCTATGGGTCAGCAACTCTTTCTGGACCCCATATGCCCTCTCTTCTAGAAGGAATAGAGATGCATTAATTCTTGCATTCTTCCAATAAGATCCAGAAAGTATTGGGGAGTCTTGACCCTAGGGATAGGAATGCTTAGTGGAAGTTAAATGTCTTTCAATACCATATATAGAGGGAGATTTCATACACTTCAGTGTGATGTAAAATAAGGACCATAATTATTAAGCTCTTACTGTTTGCTGGACTGTCATGTGGCTGGTGGGTCTGTCAGGGCATAACTGGGGCATTGGGTGTAAATGTAAGCTTGGTTTAAGCTTTGTGTGAAAGTATTAGAGATGTCTGATGGTTGATCAGCCCACCGTGTGCAGTAGCGCGCAGCTTAATGATGTGAGGGATGTCAGGGATGCGTGGGAGGAATTTTGGTCCAGCAGGAGGTTTTTGGGCTGGGAGTGAAGCTGGAACGAGATGCTCATGGTGACCACGAGGGGGCGCCAGAGAACCCCCCACCCCCACCCCGCTGCCCCACCAGTCCTAAGGGTTTGACACAGCTACTAGTTGAGCAGTTCCTGCCTGTCCTCCCTACCTAGGACTCCAGGCAGCTAGGAAGGACTGTGCTGGGGCACAGACTCCAGCTTCCAGGAGACCTAGGAGAGTTGGGGGGTGGGTGGGCTGGGTGGGGCCAGAAGAGAGACGGGGATGGCCCTGCTCTAGGACAAGTCTCCAGGCAGACGCTGCCTCTTTCTCCCTGCCCCCAGGTACGTGCACTACTTCAGTGGCCTGCTCTCTGGCTCCATCAAAATGAACAACAAGCCCTTGTTTCTGCACCACGTGATCATGCACGGCATCCCCAACTTTGAGTCTAAAGGAGGTACCTGCCCGAGCCCTCTGGCTTTCCTCCCCTCCTGGCTCCCACCTTCTTTTCTCAAGAGGCAGCCTTAGGGCATAAAAACGTGGGCTTGGGTGGGAGTCTGGACCGCACCACCTCCTGAGCCTTCTCCGAGTTCCGGGTCGCTTCATGGGACTGACTCTGGCGGTGCCTGCTGGCGCGGGAAGTTGGATGCGGCCATGGTTTTTCTAAACTCAGAAATGCCTCCCAGATGAAAAGCTAGTATTTCTTCCTCCTTTCTCTTTTCATTTTTCCTTCCTACTTCTGCTCTCCCCAGCCTTTCCTTCCTTCCCCCATTCCCCCTGCCCCCACACCATGCCCGCTAACACCACCCTCCCTTACAGGGTGTCGGCCCTTTCTCCGGATCTACCAGGCCATGCAGCCTGTCTACACATCTGGCATCTAGTAGGTATTCCTCCGGAATGAGAGGCCGGGGATGCCCGAGGCCTGAGGCCCAGGCCCAGGGACAAGAGTGTAGGGGGATGGGGCCAGGACTTCTGGGAGGATCTCATCTGGCAGAGGGCTGAGAGACAGAGGCAGCAAGCCTTCCCAGGAGCCCTCTGGCAGGGGGAGCAGGGAGTACGTGCAAGGCCTGCCCCCCTCAGCATCTCTCTTTCTCTCCGCTCCCCTCTCCCCCAGTAATGTCCAAGGAGACAGCCAGACCAGCATCTGCATCACCATCGAGCCTGGGCTGCTCTTGAAGGGAGACATCTTGGTGAGTGCTGCCCCTCTGTCTCGAGCGCCCTCCTCCCTGTTTATTGTTTCTCCTTTCTTCCCTCTTCCTGCTCCCCTCCTAACAGGATTGTCACTCTTGTCACACCAGCAGTGGGGCCATAGGCCCTCAGGGCTCCTGCAAGGCCTTCCCCTGCCTCAGAGCTGGACATCCCTTCTCCTGTGCTTATTTCTTGTTCAGAATATCTCCAGGGAAATATCTCTCCGTGTGAGCTGTTACCTTCTTGCTTCCTGTGGTGACAGGACTTCCTCAACTCTAACTTTAGTCTTTCCTTCTGTAATTTAAATTCACTCCTTCTTTTTCCATTCTGTGTGCAGGAACTTTTTGGAAGGAAAGTGTTGTCCCCAAAGGACAAGATTGGCCTCCAACATTCTGTTTTCTGGAAGTTTCCCCAGATAGCTTTAAGATTCTATATGGTATTGGTGACCTCTCTCTCATTAGGCTTGGGGGAGCCCTGGGGTCTTAGTCATGGAGCTAATAAGGAGCTCCCTGAGATCTGATTTCCCCTCCTTGGGCCCCTGATGGGCTCTGCTCTCCTTCCCACCAGCTGAAGTGCTACCACAAGAAGTTCCGGAGCCCAGCCCGAGATGTCATCTTCCGTGTGCAGTTCCACACCTGTGCCATCCATGACCTGGGGGTTGTCTTTGGGAAGGAAGACCTTGATGATGCCTTCAAAGGTGAGCTCACTGAATAGAGACATAGACCCTGCAGGGAATAATACCATAAGGTAGAAGAGTGATAATGGAGGAACTATGGCAGCAGTGAAGGGGGAACCATTTTCTGAGGGAGGGAGGGAGAAGTGGTTAGGGAGGTGTCTTCCTTTGTTTCTTTATCTATTTAAGGTTTTGTCTGTATCACATTGAAACTTGGGACAATATCCACATCCATTCACCCATTAACTCATCCACACACCCATCCTTCCATCCACCTACTTGCTCATCCACATCCATCCATCCAACCATCCATCCACTCACCCATCCATCCATCCACTCATCCGAATCCATCCACCCATCCACTCCAAATCCATCCATCCACTCTTCTAAATCCATCCGTTCATCCATTCATCTATCCATCTATCCACCTACCCATCTAAATCTGTCCATTGGCCCACCCACTCATCAATCCACCTATCCATCCAAATCCATCCATCCATCCTCCAAGAAATACTTGGGGGGTCTATATGTGCCAGGCATGTGCTAGACCCTGGGGTTACAAAGAGAAAGAAGTCAGACCCTACCCTCAGGGAGCTCGCAGTTCCATGGGAGAAAGAGACACACAAGTGGGGTACTATGAAGTGGCGCATACAGTGATAGAGACATGCACAGGGATGACAGGCAGTCACCATCCCTACTGTAATTTCTCTTCCCACAAGTGGTGGATGGTATAATCTTTGTCCAGACTGCACTTAGGCCAAGAGCATAGAATAGAGCTGGGGCTTGGAGGGTGGGGGAAGGGAGCTGAGAGGAGCCTGACCCCCCGCCCCGCCCCCGCACACACACACAATGTAGTCTGGTTCTTGCAGTAGAAGAATGTTTCTGTGATGAGTTTCCTCTGTACAGGAGCCGGGAGGGCAGAAACAGAAGATGCCATCATAATTACAGAGCGGAATGTTAGCGTTATCAGTCTTAACAGGGAAACATAAAGGGACAGCAGACAACATCAAGGTGGAGTCCGTAGAGGCAGGGAAAGTGGGGTCACAAACTTTCTCCTCTTACACGAGGGAGCCAGCGGACACCATCGACAATAGCTCAAGAAATAGAGGCTTAGCTGTAGTATTTAAAGTTTCAAAGGCAATCAGAATAAATACTACTCCTACTACTATTAGAATTAATAAGGGAGATGGGAGTGATATTAGTGGGCCAAATTCGTTATCTTCCTAGTGGTAAATCAAGGGAGATTACTTGAAATTGGTGTATCAGGAAATGGTGGCATAAAAATAGTGGCTATTTAGAGTCTTAAGGTAACAGCTTGTAGAATAAGAAATAGAAATGGGAATGGTTATCTCAGGCAAGTAGGACTGGGGCCAAAAGTGGGCAAGAGGCCTATTTCATTATATATATATAGATATAGATATATCCATGTATATATGTATATAGTATTATAGTATTATCAACCATATATGTGCATATTATTTTAATCTTCTCTAGAAAGATTAAAGTTGGAGTCCTTTTTGGGAATTAATTGCTCATTCTCCCTTTTCAGATGATCGATTTCCAGAATATGGCAAAGTAGAATTTGTATTTTCTTATGGACCAGAGAAAATTCAAGGTATAAGCTTGTTAGAGTTCATTTTTCTACCCCGTTGCCTCCATCCTAACCTGTCCTCTCCCTACTTCCACAGTTCTCCCACTCATGTACTCTACAATTATCAAGTTGCCTGTGAATGGGAGGCAGTCCAGCAGTAAGGGATCTGGGTATCACAGTGGACCCCCAGCTAAACATGAACCAGTGACTTAATCTATGGATAATAAAAATAAAAGAGCCGACCAAGAGGTGCTGGGCTGGGTATACTGTTCTGGTCCCATTAGGTCACCATCCCATTATATTCCGAGACTGAGGGCTGTGGCAGATGGAAGGAGGGGCTGAAGGCACATTCAGGGGTACTAGCTGCACGAGAAGTATTTATGAAAACTGAGGAGGTTCAACCTGAAGATGAGAAGGCCAGTTTAATAATAGTCGTGAAGCCTTTAAACTTGTTATATGTGGAGACCAGTTGTTCTCTATCCTATTTGAGAACAGAATGAGACGAGATGAAGTTAGGCTACAGGCGGAGGGACTCTGGGAAGATTCAAGGAAGGCCTGCCAGGTCAGGAAAGGGACTTGCCCCAGGAGGTGGGGCTTGTGGCTCATGTGGTCTTCATCTTTCTATGGGTGCATAGGAGAGACTGCTTTTCCCCTCAGATTTCTTCCTGGAGCTGGGAACACCTTAAGTAGGAGGCAGGGGGATGGCTCAAATGACCTTGTATCCTCTCAGTGTCATGGCCATGACTTCCCTGCTGTCCTGACCCCATGCTGCTCATCACCAACCTCTTCTATACTCCCCCTGACTCCAGGGGTAGCCTTTCTGGTCTCCTGGCACTGCCGCAAGGGCCTCTGGGACACGGAAAAGGAAGAGGCAGACACCTAGCCAGAGGGCCCCCCAGCTTTCTCCTGGGGGGTGGGGTCTTCATTCCTCAGTGTCCTGTCTTGATTTACCCCTATAACCGGGTATGAGCCTTTTCAGGAATGCAAGGAACCAGGGGCGCTTAGGTGGCTCAGTCAGCTGAGTGTCTGACTCTTGATTTTAGCTCAGGTTATGATCTCAGGGTCGTGGGATCGAGCCTCGTGTTGGGCTCTGCGCTGGGCGTGGAGCCTGCTTGGGGGTCTCTCTCTCCTTCTCCCTCTGCTCTGCCCTCTATCCTAAAACAAGATAAAACAAAAGAAGAATGCAAGGAGCCAGACTCCTGGGTTCTCTGCCCACTTTGTGCCACTGGCCGCACCCCACCGTGGTCAGGAATAGGGGAAGCCCCTCAGGGAGCAGCCCTGGGGGAGCTGCTGGCTGCCTCTGTTTTTCCAGCTGCTGATCCTTTTTTTTTTTTTTTTTTCTTTTCTCTTCACTGCACTCCCGCCCCATTCCTTCAGGCATGGAACACCTGGAGAACGGGCCAAGTGTGTCTGTGGACTATAACACCTCTGACCCCCTCATCCGCTGGGATTCCTATGACAACTTCGATGGGCATCGAGAGGATGGCATGGAGGGTAGGTGGCACCCAGACTTCCAGCAGCTCCCCTCCCCGCGGCGCTGTCCTGCTCCTGCGGTCTCGGTGCTGCTGGTGGGCCGTGGCCCTGTACCGGGTTCAGAGGGGAGGCAGAGGCGAGGTCCAGGGCATCTCCGAGAGCTCCCAGTTCGGTGGGGGACAATACGACAAAACAGATAAGACAAAACAGGAATGTGTGAAACAATGAAGACAGAGCTAAAGAATGCAGGCGAACAACCACTAAGGAACAAATGGCCTGGCCTCTGAGACTGGCAGGGGAGGGATTCTCAAGAGCTGGCGTCGCCCTGGAGTGGCCTGGGAGGACTCCTTGGAGGAGGTGGCCTTGAGTGGAGCTCGACAGAATTCTCGTGCAGCAAACGCAGCGTTTTGTTAGATGTCTTTGTAACCTGCTCTTAGATGTCTCCAGGCTTGCGGCCTGACTCCCCCTGGGTCAGAGCACTAGGAATTAGACCCAGCATGTAGGGCCTGCAAACTTTCATCAATAGCCAACAAAAATGTTTGAGAGCTGGAAACCGATAGGCTCCAAAATCTGAAAAGTAAGCCGCAGTCAAAATTAATGCGTGTTTAATTTAGCTACAAAACCTAGCATTATGTCAAGTGGGCAGCAGCGACTCAGTTCAATCTTTGACGGCTAGCTGTGGATTGTATACGTTTGTGTGGTTCATTTGAATGTGGGTGGCGGGGCGGGGCTCCAAAAGTGAGCATGCCTGGGGCCCAGGAGCCCTGGAGACGCCTGGCTGAGGTTTGGCGTAGACTCACTTTTCTGATTTGGTCCTGGGACTGCAGCATGCGGGAGCTGGAAGGAACCTCGGGACTCTCGGCCCATCCCCTGGTTTTCAGCTGGGGATAACTGAGACGCCCCCTTGAAGGAAGGGTCTTCTGATTTAACCCCACGGCCCAGGATATGTCCTTTCAAGGACTCCAGCTCCCAGGCTCTGGGCTGCAGCTGGTCCTAGGGTGGGTGGGGGTGTGCCGTCCTGGGGACTCTGGGCCCTGGGGCAGAGCCGGGTTAGGGACAGCCAGGCCTGCTGGCTGCCCCCTGCTCCTGATCTTCTGCACCACCCCCCCGCCTCCTTCCACCTTCTTCTCCAGGGTTTTGGGTTTGTTGACTCTACTCTGCAAGTCTTCTAGGCCTTTTCTTGAAAAAAGATTCTCTCTCTGACCTTCAAGCTACCAGAATGAGTGATGGATTTCCGAGTGAGTGGGACGTGGGCGGTGGTTGGGCTAGAATTTAGGCCTAGATGAGAGCATGCTGTTTACAGGCAGGCAGCACTGCAAAGTGAATGGCTTGTCCTCAAGTCTACCTTAGTCCCCGCCCTCCCCATCCTCCTCCCTCTCCTCCCCCAGGGACTCAGATACCCCACTCTGCGGAGGCACCTCCCCAAGCACTCCTCCCTGCTACCCCTGCCCTCCCTCTGCTGTGCTGAGTGCCTGGGGAGAGGGCAGAGGATGAAATGAATAAGCTCTGAGCCACCAGTGGCTGCCAGCCTAATCGGTCTTCATCCTGGGGATGTTTGCATTTTTAACAAGAACACTTGGCAATTTCAAGGTATTTTCGGTGTGTCCCCATCGTCTCTCCCTGTGGTGGATTCCATGCAATGGTAAATGTCAAAACAATCTGTAAACTATGAAGTGCCAGGCAAACAAAAGGTAAGATAGTTAAGGGGAAAAGAGAGGCTGGGGAAGGCCCATTGCCATGAGTGAAGGCAAGGGGCAGACGGCAGGGCAGAGGGAGACCTCAGCCATGACAGGCAGGATGGGGGAGGAAGGAGAGGCTGAGTGAGCCCTGGGCTCTTCTCTGCCCCTTGCCTCCCTCCTCTCTCCTCATCCGTTCCCTCAGGCAGGGGGATGGAACCCATGGGACTTTCTGGCCAGTGAAAGGTCAGCTCATCCTGCAGGGACAGAGGGGCTGCTGTCTGGAGGCTGAGAAGCTGGCCCCATGCCTGAAGGGTGGGAAGGGCAGGCAGGGGAAGCAGACGGAGGTTCTGCTGTCCTCTTCCCGTGGCCTGGCCTGGCCCGATTGTGGTTGGTCTGGGCTGGGACCTCCGTGGTTGGGGTGGTCCCCAGGACTGAGCCCGTCTGTCCGCTGTTGGGCTGCATTCCCCCACAGGGACGGGAAAGCCAGCTGTGGGGCAGGAGCAGTGATCATTATTCCAGTCCTGCTTTTCGTCCTGGGGGGAGGCACTTCTGGAAGGTTCTAGGTTCTAGGGCTGAGAGAGAGAAGCGCTTTCTTCTGGCGAATTTTCTTGGTCTGGAGAGGGAAATAGGAGGTCTGGGCTTGTCTCTTTAGTTGTGGGCAAGTCCTGTACCTCTGTTTCTCCAGGTACTAGTTGGGGTAAGGGCACCTAACCTCCAAGACTCTGGGGTGCCTGAGAGATGGCTCCAGCTGGAGCCTCAAGGTGCCAGGGAGCTCCCTGGAGTGGCCCTAGGGCTGGGGGATGGACGTCCTGCTCCCTGAGGACGTCACAGATGGGCAGAGGTAGGCAAAGCCTGAGATGCTGTAGTGGAGTGGTAGAGCGGGCGTGCTGGCCTGGATCTGATCCAGGTCCCGGATCCCGCCCTCTGAAGGCATGACTTAGCCTTCCTGTGGTCTTCATTTCCTCTTCTGCAGACTTGGGGTGTCCTTGGCTTAATGCAGCAATTTTCATGAAAGGCGGTTTAGTGTCAGGGTCCAGAATGTGGCCTCTGGAGTCAAACTGCCCGGGTTCAGATCCTCTGACAAGATACCATCCTCTCAGGGCCTTGGTTTGCTCCACTGTGAATGGGGGATTCAGTTGACAGATCATTTTGGACACCGTCTGGGGGGTAGGAGCTCTGGCGGCAGCTGTCGTGGCTCCTCAGGAGTCTCTGACCCGTCGGTAGTGACCGTGGCCAGCATCTCAGACCTTTGCAGAGAAAGCTAAGGGGGAGGCCCATTGGCCTTGGGAGGCCGCTCTGGCTTTGCTCCGCGCCAGCCACAGTGCCAAGCCCTTGCGAGTCACTGTTTCCCCTGTGAGGTGGGACCGTTACCATGCCTGGGTAGGGAAACTGAGGCACAGTGGGGTTCAGTAACCTGTGCAGGGTTGCCTCGCCAGGAAAGAGCAGATCTGGGTGTGGAACACCAGCGCTAACCCCCACACGATTTCGGTAACCGCAGATGCCTATATTCGGGGCACCAGCTCCCATGACACACCTGGGTGCCACTGATCTTGGATGAATCTGCCCCTTCCGTCCCCACCTCTCACCACGGGGCTGACCGGAGGAGCCCTGTCTTAAGTCTCAGAGTGGGGGAGGGGTTGGACGCCGTGGTACCTGGGGCGCAGCAGCCCGGAGACCACCAGGCTGGCCCTGTGGCAGGTGCGTAGCTGGGCTTCAGGGCGGGGAACAGCTGAGGCGCGTCCCTTGATGTCCTTACATGCCCCACCCTGGCCCCCCGCCCCAGGAGGGTGTGGGGGTGCTCACACCGCGATGCCCTGGTGAGGGGATGGCCTCAAAATAGGGCGGGTGTCTGAGGTGAGGTGAGGCCATTTCTGGAAATGGCACGCCTCTATTTCAGGCCCGGTGAGGGAAGGGATGGGAAAGGCCAGGCCAGTCCCTCTGGAGGCCGCCTGGTGATTCGGAGGGGGAAGGCCGGGGGCACTGAGCCAGGCACTGGGGAACAGAGAGAGATGATCTCTGGCCTGGGCTGCTCCTCGCCCCCTCCTTGCAGTGAGCGCCATCAGCCCTCTACCCCCTGTTCCTCCTGCTCCTGCAGGAGACCCCTGACTTCACTCTCTCTGCTACTGTGTGTTTAACCCCTTCCTTGATGACTGCACCCGTCTCCCCCAGGCCCCCATTCCCAGGTCAAGTTCCCACTCCCCCAGGACATCCCTGATCAATCTCAGCAGCGAAGTGAGGGAAGAAGAAAGTCCACGGGACTTCTGTTCTCTGGGGTGGCCTGGGCTGGTCACAGAGCCTGTCTGATGCCCTACTGTCACAGTGAGAGTCCAGGGACCTGCCAGAGGGAGAGGAAACCCTCCTGCATGGAGCCCCACTATGCATGACCTCAGCTCCTTCCTTGTTATACTGACCCATTGTTCCAATGGCCACACCAATGTGTGGAGAGGGTGGTGGTGCTGGGGGGAGGAGGTCATGACAGAGGGCATGGGGTTGCTCTTGCATCCAGGGCGCTGACTCTGGCCTCTCCCCACCTCTCTTGGAGCTCAGCTATTCAGTGCCCCAGACCCCCTAATTCGGGGGGTCCTTGTGGATGCTTATCTGAGATCTCACACCTTTGGATGGCATAGAGCTCACCGCCACATGGGGCAGGCTGTTTCATGTTGGACGAGTCCAGAAACTGAACCAGAAATAGAGGGAAAAGGGAGTGTTGCCTGTGTGGTGGACCAAGGCTGCTGGGACCATGGATGCTCGGGGACCTGTACAGCTCCCTATACTCAAGCCAGAAGGAAGGGAAAGTGATAAAAGATGGAAACTCAATAACAAGAACCTTCTGACTAGAGAAGGGTCCGATCCTTGGGACCTGTGGCTGGGGAGCAGGGGAGCACCTGCCCTCTCCAGGACTCCTTACTTCGGGAGGAGTGCCATCTGGGGAACCCTGCAGGCTGGTGTCTGAGCTGCTTGAGCCATTGTGACAAAATCTGCTGTGGGCTTCAACAGCAGGCATGTATTTTCCCCCAGTTCTGGAGGCCAGAAGTCTGGGAGCAAAGTGTCAGCAGCAGTGGTCCCTTTGGTGCTTGTAAATGGTGGTCTTCTCCCCGTGTCTTCACTTGGTCCTCCCTGTGTGTGTGTCTGTGTCCTGATCCCTTCTTTATAAGGACAGCGCCCACTCATGTGACTGTGTTTTAACTTAATTACCTCTTTAGAGGCCCTATTTCTAAATACAGTCCCATTCTGAGTTCTTGGTGGGGGGAACTTGGGTTGGGGGGGAACACGTCAGCCCATGACACTGAGGAAGGAGTTTTCTGGGTTGCCGGATGCCTGGAGCCTTGGTCCTGAGTGGGG